GTAAAAAGTTACTTGGGCATCAGTGCCATCTGACCTCATTTTTTCTTTTCTGAACCTTGATTGTTTCATCTGTAAAGTAGGCATGATGATGCCTCCCTTCAATGGTTACTATGAGCTTGAAATGAGGCGAGAAATGCATACTTTACCATGCAGGATTGGTCACCTTAATGCTTGTTTCCCAAGGTTCCCTCTTGAGATGTTTCAACTTGTATACCAGAGACCCAGTGTTCAGAGCAAGGTAGATATGCCCTGAGTCCTAGCTCTCCCACTTATATAATATGTCCCTTTAGGCAAGTAAGTTTGCCTTACTATGTCCTTGTGTCTCTGTAGTTTGTTAATTACACCTCCCTCATGAGTACATTCAGAGGAGGATTTCCATACATCATATATACAGATCTACCAGCAACATCATCCGAAAGAATAAATGTATAACACCACACTGTGGATAGTGTCTGCAAGTGGCATTTTTGTATGCTGAATGCCATTTCAAATCCCAACCCAAGGAAATTACACAGTGAATAGTTTTGTGAATTAAATAACATTTTCCTGTAATCTATGCTTTTCTTTTCTTCAGGTGGAACTTTTGAGTAGGTAATGAGTTGACATGGTGCTTGATTCAAAAGATAAAAAGATTATAAGGCAGAGTACCTTTCTTCTGTTCCCATTCTACAACCACTTAATTCTCCACCCAGGACAACCACTTTTACCAGATGCATGAGTTCTTGTCTGGAGACAGTCTATTACTTATACATGTGAAGCCCCATTCCTTAAAATCCTTTAAAAAAATCCTTTCAAAATCAAAGTCTGTCTTTCCCCTATGAAGCTCTGTCCTCATTTCTTCCCTAGGGTAAATAATTTCTCAGTGCTGAGGCTGGAGAGATGGCTCAGTGGTTAAGAGCACTTCCTGCTCTTCCAGAGGACCCAGGTTCAGTTCTCAACAGCCACAGGTTAGGCTGACAACTGTCTGTAACTCCAGTTCCAAGGGATCCTCCCCTCTGCACTGTCTTTTGTGGGCATTGCACACATGTGGTGCATTTATATACACACTGGCAAACCACTCATATATGTAAAATATAAATCTTCAAAATAATTTAAAAATAATTTCTTAATGCTTTAATCCCTCTCTTTATGTATCTTATAATTGTTTTTAAAATTCTTAATTTTTGTGCATTTTGTACAGAATATATTAGTTATATTTATACCCCCTGTCCTAGTTTGCTTCTCCATTGCTATTACAAAATTTTTGACCAATACCAACTTGAGGAGAAAAGTTGTCTTATATCTCCAGGATCACAGTTCATCTGGGAACCCAAGGTAGGAAATCAGGGCAGATACCTGGAGGCAGGAACTATAGCACAGGTCATGGAGGAATGTTGCTTACTGGCTTGGTCTCCTGACCCGTGCTCAGACTGCTTTCTTATGCAAGATAGGCCCACCTGCCCAGGGGTGGTGGTGCCACCCACAGAGGGCTGGGACCTCCCACATCACTCAATAATCAAGAAGATGCCCCACAGACAGGACCACAGGCCAGTCCTATGGCAGCAACTCCCCCAGTTGGGGCTTCCTCAACCCAGGTTTGTCAAGTTGACACTAAAACTATTCAATACAATTGACCCCTTGTTAACGTGATACACAAACACATCACTACTAAACCATAACCTTTCCATTTCTTGTCCCCAAGACACGATGTTAACATTAATATCACAACATAAGACAGTACAATCTTAAAATCCCCACAGTCCTTAAAAAATTAACCACTCAGAAGTCCATAGTCTCTTTTAAAATTCTCTTAAATGTCGGCTCTTGTAAAATCCAAAACAAGTACTATCTTATTTCAAAAGGAAGAATCGGGCACACCTAAGCCAAACCTAACTCCAGCAACGTCACTCAAGCCTGGACATCTGGGATTCACTCATGATGTTCTGGGCGCCAAAGGGTTCTGGCAGCTCCATTTCTGACTCTGCCATCCACAGCACACACAGTTCACCTCCCAGACCCAGGCTGCCTCCATTCCACACCTGATGCTGCCCTTGATGGTCATCCCATGGTCCTGGTATCTCCAAATGCTGGGGCCAACACTGAAACTGAGGCTGCACCTTCACCAATGGCCTTTTGTAGCCTCTCAGGGTGTGGTGCCAAGCCTCAGCTGTTCACTGTAACCCCTTCACATTTTCAACACCAGAACCTTGCGGGAGACTCTTACACATTACCAAGTCCAGCTTTCAGCTTGAGATGGAGGCTCAGGTCCCCTCTGGACAACAGATTCTGTGCTGACCCTGCAGAAATACTTCCTAGAAGATTTCACCACAGTGATGCTGGTCTCCTGTTACTTACAGCTCATTTTTTAGCCCCAGCTAACCAGCATTAATTGTTCCTGTAAAGCAAGGTTTTACTTCAGGTTCTGGTCTCTTCTTAAACACAGCTGATTCTTCAGCTGTAGGAGACCAGACCCCACAGATTCTCAATTTAAAATATCACACAAACAGTCCTGACAGTCTCTGTTTCCCCTTGAAGCTTCACAAGCCAGGCCTCTATTGTCTACAACTCTTTCAGCATAACTGTTCCAAGCTCCACAGCAACAAACTCTGAGCACTCAATGGCTTTTCTAGCTAAAGTTCCAAACACTTCCACAATCCTCCAGTGTCAGGTCTATCACAGCAGTGCCCCACTCTCTGGTACCGATTTCTGTCCTACTTTGTTTCTCCATTACTGTGACAAAATACTCTGACAAATACCAACTTGGGAAGGAAAGGGTTTGTTTGTCTTATATTTCCTGGGTCACAGTTCATCAGAGAGCCCAAGGTAGGAACTCAGGGCAGACACCTGGAGGCAGGAGCTAGAGCACAGGTCGTGGAGGAATGCTGCTTACTGGCTTGGTCTCCTGGCCCATGCTCAGACTGCTTTCTTATGCAAGATAGGCTCATCTGCCCAGGGATGGCTCTACCCACAGTGTGCTGGGCCCTCCCACATCACTCAGTAATCAACAAGATGCCCCATAGACATGGCCACAGGCCAGTCCAATGGAGGCAATTCCCTAATTGGGGCTTCCTCAACCCAGGTATGTCAAGTTGACACTAAAGCTATCCAGCACACCCGCTTCCCCATTGATCTCCTCCCATAGTCCTCCCAGTGGAATTCATACAGTCTGTCATTGTCCCTCAGTGCAACTGAGGTCTAGTCAGCCTATCTAGAGTCCCTACCTTTAAGAAAATCAGCTCTTTCTCATCCAGCAGTAAACAGCTGCCAATAATTATTTGAGTAAGATTGGGGCCTGCTGTCCATTTCCACAGTTCTGTGCTGGGTTTTTTGTTGCTTGAGTTTTCATGGGTCTTATCCATGCTGACACTGTTGCTGTAGGTTCATATGAGCAGGGTCCCCGGAGGCTGTAGGACTCTGGTTATGTGTGGTCATGTACCTCCTCCCTGGTTCTTACAACTTTTCTGGCCCCCTCTTCCACAACGGTCCCTGAGCCCTGATTGGGTGGATTTTAATATAGGAGACCTGTCCAAGTACCCTAGACAAATGTAATTTCTTACTATGTACATAAGATCTTATCTTTTGTAAATTAAAGAATGCTTAAGGTCGTACCAGGTGTGATGAAACATTCCTGTAATCCTAGACCTCAGGAGGCAGAGGCAAGAGGATCAAGACTTTGAGGCCAGACTGAGTTGCACAAAAAGAAATAAACAAAAGTAAAACTCAAAAGATAAGATTGAAAATAATAAATTCCCGTATTTCCACTTTCAGATTTAATGTATTTTGTCAATGTTCCTTCTAGACTTTCCTTATTCTTCTGGTAATCACTGCTCACAGCCTTTCAGGTTCTCCTGAGACCATCTCTGAAGCACCTCTCATCTCCATCCCCAGGTCCCCACCTACTAAGTGTATGCCTCCAACCAATCCCTTATCTCTTCTCCTGGGTGATTCCAGAGCCTCCTAGATGAATATTCTGCCTAGCACAAAGTCCATTACCTGGGTGCTCCCAAAGCATCCTTCCTAGTTCTCACAGAAAAGCAATTCATTTTCCTCCTCTGGAATCTTCTGTAACACTTAACTCAGTTAAGCACTCACGCCTTCTTGTGGCATGAGCACCATTTTTAGTCAGTCCTGGGTTTGATGCTGCGCATAACTTCTCAGCTCCTCATCCCCAGGGAAGTTTCACAAGTTCATTCCAGGAAACTCCTCTGTCTAACAATGAAGCACCATCTATCCTTCAAATCATGACCTAAATCTTCACTCCGCCATAAAGCTTTCAGAGATCCTCTGTGCTAAAATGAATTGTTCGTCCCCATATTCCTAACATCTCGTTGTGTGGAAAACATAAGCCATGAATTAGGTTTAAGGCTCCTAAGGATCCCATTTGTCCCCCTGACTAGCTTATGATATGCTAGCTGGTACAGGCCAAGAGGCATTTATCTTTGTGCCTCTCATGTCTGGCTCTAGGCCTGGCATATCCTAAGCCCTTGCTTGAAATGTATATGAAATTAAGTTGCCTGGAGTAATTTTTTTAGAGTTGGGCTCGTCATAACACAACGATAGTAGCTTTCTATTATTTAGTGCCCACTGTGGACCTGGTATTTTACATGTAATATTTCCTTTTTCTCTTCAAAGCAAACCCATAAGGTTCAGAATTATTGCCCCTGTTTTAGGAAGAACTCAGGGCTCAGAAAGGTGAGCCTCAAGGTCATATAACTGGGAAGCTGCTGAGCCATGGTTAGAGCCCAGATCCAGCTCACTACAAAGCTCAATTCCTTCCATTAATCATGTGGATTCTTGGGTCACCGGGGATGTACAAGAAAACGGCAGGGAATGGAGCTGATGGTCTGGGGGATGGCTGAGGGTTTAACAAGCTTCTAGAAGCATGCATGTGGATTCTTGGGTCACCGGGGATGTACAAGAAAACGGCAGGGAATGGAGCTGATGGTCTGGGGGATGGCTGAGGGGTTTAACAAGCTTCTAGAAGCATGCAAAGCTGACTGATGAATGGTGCTTCTCTGCAGGGGGAATCAGCTTTGGGAGAACCAAGGGGACCTCCGGCTCAGAGGCAGACGACGAAACTCAGCTGACATTCTACACAGAGCAGTACCGCAGTCGCCGCCGCAGCAAAGGTAACAGAGTCCCTGGGAAGGTTCCAGAGCCACTGTGCATGTTTACAAAGCCCGAGGAACAGATTTCACAATAAATGGCAAATGTAAATCTTCTTCAATCCAGTTAACATTGAACTTGGCTCATCCTGGACCAACCAAATTATTGACCTGCAATCCTTTCTTTTCTACTCCATTCTTTAGCTCTTTTATGCCCACATCATTCTCATTTTTTCCTTAGATTGCCCCAAGCTGGGGAGGCATTTGCAATTGATGGGCTGTTGAGAGACAGAGTTCCTAAAGACTCTGTCCCTGATAGAACTACCACACGTCAGTGGATGATCACACGCCCAAGAGTATATGGGCAGCACAAATTGGACTCCATCCATTTAAAATAAAATGAGGACATGAAGTTGGGTGGGTAAAGAAGAGTGGGTGAATTTCAGAGGAGTTAGTGGGAGGGTGGGTGAAAATGACCAAAATACAATGTGTGAAATTTTAAAAGAAAATATTAAAAATTCCAGTATAGGAAATCAAATAATAAAAGGGGGTAAAGAAAATTATTCATATTTAAGTTAGGTGGGTGCAGACAGCCCATATCATGCATAGCTATGCATGTCTTTGGCAGGATCTGCCAGTCTAACTCAGCAACTCTTAGCAGCAAAAGAACAAAGGGAATATTCTCTACTGCAAAACTTGCAAGTCAAATGGGAAAGAGTAAAGTTTATCTGCTCATGAAATTCTATTAACTGCATCTGAGAGTCCCTCCAATTGATCCCCACAAATAGGACATTATTTTTAGATAATGTTTTCAACAGATAAGAATCAGTATCAATACATCATTCATTATTCATCACAATGACAGTCAATGTAACACGATATCAAGATACTAAAGAAGGAATCCTTACCTTATGGCCAACGTCTATAGTTCTCTATGACTTAATGGGCTCTACATGAAAACAACATATTTCAGGAAATCCTGAATGAATGTAATTCCTCATCCCCGAGTATTGTGTAATTTTAGGAAATTAGCAATTGTGAAGTGGCCTTCAAGAAGTAACTCTGGGGTACAAACGTATATTACATGCCAAGGACTGGTACAGATCTATATAGGCTTTGACCATCCAATGAACAGTATCCTGTGTCACAAAAAAGTAGGCATTCTTGTCACCTTACATTGACTATCCTTAGGAAAAATATGGTTTATTATTAATATTAATGGGTTACGAGTGTCAGGATATCTGGTCCTCCTGCCTCTGCATAGAAGGAACCAGAGGAGTTGTCTGGGGCAGGAAGGAAGAGGAATCTTCCTTCTAAACTATTTGCATGTGTCTCTACATGTTCATTATGGATGTCTATAGTAAGGGCTTTGATCACATAGCTTTTGTGGCTGTTTTGCACTTAGGTGAGTTGTTTCCATTCCTTCATCTGTAAAATATGCCTTGTAGCTGCCTTAGGTAGTTGGGGGTGGTTTTGATTACATTATATGTAAAGTCAACACAGTACCTGGTGTAAGGGGAAAATGAGGTAGACATTATTAATGTTGATTTCATTCTCATTGTTGTGTTTTCCGTGCCTACTCTGGTACCTATCACAGAAAATGTTCCATGTGAGGAGTACTTTTATTGTCATGTCCATGGGATGGATTTTCAACCTCTGCAGCCCTTAAAACAACCAAGCTTGCCTCTCAGTCTTGCCCATGCTTCACCTTCTGGAATCTATTGCAGTGGAGATTTAGAAGTTGGTGATCAATGAATCTTGACTTGTCTTCTCCCTCCCCCAATCCCACAGTCAGAATTAAGACCAGGGAAGTTGGTGAGTCTCCACAGCAGGACTGGGCTATTTACAGCTAATTGGAAAAACATCCATCACTAGTCATGCACCCTATAAATTGGAGTTAACTTAAAAGAGAAAAGCAAAAGAAAGCCACAGAACTTGAGATAAACAATTTGGCTCAGTGCCTCTAGATGCCCCAGAAGGTCTGGCTGTGTTTTCAGGATAGTGAGGACGACAGGGCTGTGACACCGCCTCCCGCCTTCGCTGGTCCTGTTGCCAGAACAATGCCAAAACCACTTATTTCATCCCTTCCCTCCATTTATTTTCCACTAATTGCAGAGTCTTCTCCCTCCACTGCTGTTTTCTGCCATGTACTTCATATCCTCTTCAGGATCCTGTTTCCTTGGTTATTGGTGCATTTCTTTTATTTCCGTTGTCTTTCTCTTTCCTCTATCCCTAATTGCTGCCACGTTGTTTATTCTATCTAGCTTTTGCTCACTTCTGTTCGCTCTTTTCATGATCTTGTCTCTCTTCTTCCTTTTCTGCTCTTTCATCCAGCTATTTCCTTGTAAGTCTTTCCTTCCATGAAGACCACAAACATTTCTCCAGCAGCAACGACGTCTGTATTTTTCCAGGCACCAAGGACAAAAACCAAGCGAAAAGCTTAAAAATTCTCACCCATGTGGATTTGATAGTATGTCAAATTGTAATGATATTCAATGGTGAAAAACACTAAGGGAAAGGATATTACAATGAAGAGAACCGGGTCGAGAAAGAGTTGATTGTTAGATCCTGAGCATAATTACATGGCCTTGTGCTATATCACAGGTAGGTGACATTGCTCTTGGTACCATACCCTTATAAAGGTGTCAGTCTTGCTTCTATTCTTGATGCTGCTGCTGTGATCTTTTAGTGAAGACAGAGAGTTGATTTGGCCTTGGCAAATCCCTGTTCCATCCAACTGAACTTAGAGCCCAATGTCCAGTTCTGCAGATACAGCAGTTCCCCTCAAAATATCTGTGACCCTTCTTTCTTCTTATACTTTGTAAAGGAGTTGATGAGCCTGAAGCACTCACCTTTCTAATGGGGGAAAACTCATGATACAAAAGTCATCCAAGAGAAGTCTGAGAGTGCTTGGGGGTGCCATAGCAACAGAACAGAACCTTAAAAGCATGGCTTCTGATGCTGGGTATCCTGTTCATTCGCAGCTCCACAGCTTACTAGTAATTATATACTAAACATGTGACTTAACATCAGTGTGTATTGGTTACTTAAACTATAAACTGAGAAGGTAACACAAAGCTCTAGGATAGTATCTTAAAGATTAAAATAGATTGATATATGTAAAGTATTTATGTAGAGACTAGGGATAGAGTGCAGACATTAAAACAGAGCTAAGCTACTAAGAAATGACCACAGGATCTAGTGTATGTCTAGGGGGTGGGAGAAATCTCATACCTGCTGGCAATTCACTTTCTGACATTAGTTAAAGCCCACTTACCCAGATGTCCATTATCTGGAACATGAAGAGGAAAAGGGCAGGAGCTGGTCAAATCCCATCTCAGAGCTCCCTTCTGACTGTGCTATTGGTAGAATAGGCTGTGCATCTTTGAGAATCACTGTTCTTGAAATGTGCTTCTGTTCCTGGCTCCTTTGCATCCTTTTCTCAAGACTTTCCCATTTCCTCTCTCTCTCAGGAGTGTGTGCCATGACACTGGAATAGCTTCAGTGATCTTCTTTAATTATATCCATTGCTTACCTCTTCCCTATATCCCAAGGCATACATGGACCCTCAGTGTAATGTCCCAAGACTCTCTCCATCTTTGTCACTGCTATCCAAGTTCTTTCTTAGTAAATACAGTGAGTCAGCAAGCAGCTCCCATGCTCTGCCAGGGGCATGTGAGTCATCCTGGCTGGGAAGCAGAAGAAATAAAAGTATAAAGAACTAAAGAAGAGATAGATAAAACTAGATGGGTATGGTGGCACACACCTTCAACCCCAACACTCAGAAGGTAGAAGCAGATGGATTGGTCTGCATAGCGAGTTCCAGGCCACCAGCTGGGACTACAGGAAGACTCTGCCTTAAAAAAGGCAAAAAAGAAAGAAAGAAAGAAAGAAAGAAAGAAAGAAAGAAAGAAAGAGAGAGAGAGAGAGAGAAAGAAAGAAAGAAAGAAAGAAAGAAAGAAAGAAAGAAAGAAAGAAAGAAAGAAAGAAAGAGAAAGAAAGAAAGAAAGAAAGAAAGAGAGAGAGAGAGAGAGAAAGAAAGAAAGAAAGAAAGAAAGAAAGAAAGAAAGAAAGAAAGAAAGAAAGAAAACTACTGGGAAGAGCAAAAGAAATCCCTATGCTCTAGGGTGTAGCTTACTCATAGCATTTGTTTAATACCATGTTAACTCATGGTGTCCTCTTCAGTTCCATTTAAAAATAAGACCTGAGCTGTCTTTCTCAAATCTAGAAGCATGTGTGCTTAGATAAAACATTGCACTAGTTCCACCTTTGGAGTGCTCAGGATGAAGTGGGATACCTGGAATTATCTGAGGGCAACAGGACCAGTGAAGTACTGGGTGTCGCTACTTTTCTGTATGACTTTGTACAGGTCATTTCCCATCTCTGGATTCTACATTCTCAGACTCTAATCAGAACTATATGAGGGCTGTTGAAAAGCAGCTCAGTCAACATTGTTCTACCAGGGAGCCCAGCAAGGGACTGCTGTGTTGGTAAAGGAATGACAGCTGCATATCACTGGTGGGCACTTCCTGTTAGAGTTGAGACTAGAAAGAGACCTAGACCTCAGGTGTGGCTTTGTTCCTCTGCCTGGAATGAGCCAACTCCATCTTCTCATCTCTCAAATGAAGGAATAATTGAACAATTGCCTCACAAGGTCATTGTGAAGACTGAATGAAATGAGGATCTTTGTCACCTCAGCTGCTATCAGCATGCCCTCCATTCTCTTGTTCTGTGCTGCTGTCCTGGTCTCTGACACCAACCTCCTTTGGTTAGATTCTGCCAAAAGTTCCTTCTCAACGGCCTCTCTTCCTGTGTTCCAAGCTACTCTCCACTCTGCAGCCAGAGTGATCATTTAAAAATTTCTAAGTAGAGATCATGTTGCTTTTTTAGTTAGATGACATCAATACCTTTCTTTCTCACTTAGGATTTTTAAAACAGGTTCCTTATCCACCCTTAAACACCAAGTACATCTTCTCCATCACTCTTGCCAGACTTCCGTCTCTGATGCCAGCCAGGCCTCTTCC